GCCACCAGTGCATGACACTCACAAGTCTCATGTCAAAGACTCATGAAACAGAGCAAGCCCCAAACACACAAATATTTTCCCACAGCCCACAGCAATCAGCGACTTGTGGCAGCTAATTTGCCATGCTTCTCTGCAGGTCTTCATGAGTCCACGCTTCTCTGCAGATCTTCATGACAGCCCGTCCAAACAACACTGGATAAACCTGAGATTGGTGGAGCTCTTCCTTGCATCCAGTGAACTGAGAGCCACTCCTCACCACCAACTCAGCCTCACTTGCCATTCCAGTAGGCTTTGCACAATGCAGTGCTTCAAACCAGCTTGAGTTGGAATAGATGCTGAGTGGCTTCAGCGAAGATGCACCAAATGCTCCAAGGTAGGTGGAAAAGCGTGAAGCTCCAAAGAACTCAAGAACACCAGCCATGGAAGGAGCACAGGCCATGCATGAGCTTCCAGGCTGCTCAAGCACTGCCAACAGCTGAAGCGAACTCGCCAGAAAGTACAGGAGGGCGCTCGCCTCCATGAGGGCGTTGCCGCACATCACAAATCTTCTGGTTGTGTCGCCAAGCCATTGATTGGCAGCGGATCTCTGGGATTGGCACCTGCACAGCACCACAAAGCTGCTGCAAGGTGTGCCCAGCCACAACAGCCCTTTCCTCTTCAAAGATGTCACTGCATCAATGATCAGTCGCAGGCCATCTCCAGTCAGTGCATCGTGGAGAGAGCTGTGAACGTTGTCAAATCCACTTCCACGAAAGCCTCCCCTGATCATCTCACGTGTGAGGTTGCCAACACCACAGAAGACTTCTGCAAAGTCAAATGGTGATGTTCCCATTTGATTCCTCAACCCTCTCATGCAAAGGCTCACCAAGCAATGCGTCAAGTCTTTGCCAGCCAAACAAGGAAAGCACGTGTGAAGCACACCAGGCCATGTGTAAGAAGCTCTGCCTCCATTGACCCTGCTGTCAGTCCTCAAGAATCTTGTCACAAGGTCTTGGAAGTAGCAAATGTGCTCAGCTTCAGCTGGCTGAAAAGACCTGCAGGAACTTCACAGCTGCTTGCTTATTACTGTAAATAATTTATGTTTTAACAATCTCAACTTGACTTGAAACTATAAGGACACACCAATCACATCCACCCCATGGAGTTTGACTACACCACAACCTTGGAACAGCTGCCCAAGGGAGAAAGTCAGCAGCTGTCTTCTGGCAGCACTTGGAAGTCTCAATGTTCAGCTCCTTCTCCGGGTCAGTGATGGCAAAGGAATGGGAGGCCACAGGCTCAGGCTCAGGCTGAGATTGGGAAACACGCTGCTCTCTTCTCTTGAGGATCTTGACCCTCACAGCATTTGCTCTCCGTCTCCTGCTGTTCCTCTTGTGTTGCCTCTGCTGCTGCCTCAATGCCCACCATTGAAGCAGCAGAAGCTGTGGAAACCAACACTGCTGGATCATTGCTCCAATCCAACGGGTGAAACTTACCCTGATCAGTGAAACTTGCAATACATGTGTTGGCTTGATGTTAGCATTGAACTTGATTGGGGCATGTCCTGGAACAAGTTGGCTTGAACATTGGTGGTTGGTTGATTTGGCAGCATTTGATTGTTGTTTGCCTTGAACATGTGGACTTGGTGTGTGATTGATTGGTTTGACTTGAACATGTTGACTTGACATGTTGAGTTGAATGATATTTGACTGGCATCGCTTTGTATAGTGCTTGTTGTGCGTTGGTAGTTTCAGTGGACCTTTCTGAGACAGTGTTTGTTGCGCTGCTTGTTACATTTGTGCTTGGTATATGCAGAGACTGAAACTGATCCTGAGGGCTGTAATAATTACAACGCAAACAGCAGCAATTGTTCCATGATGTTCCATGTAATGTAGCACACAAACAGAAGCACAAGCAAGAAATAGCCAACTCACAACTGCATCACATCTTAAGGTTACAAATCCCAAGCTCAAGGAAAACTGCACTAGCTACTGCTTCAAGTCTCAAGGTCACAAATCTCAAGCAAGCCCCAAAAATCTGCACAGCTACTCAAGCCTCACCTCAGAGTCACAAATCCTAAGCCCAAGGAAAACTGCACTAGCTACAATCAATACACACTCCACAACAGATTGCAACTCACATCATGCACAAGGTTCGACTGGCCTGCATTTTTGCACACAGGCTAGCGGTGCCCATAGGCCTTCTTGGCCGGCATCTCAGCCACAGTCTTCCGAAGACCATCAATGAGAGATTGAGAAATCTCACCTGGAACCTGCTGCATTGCAACAGGCACTGCGAAGCCTGAGAAGCAAACACAACCAGCAGTTGGAAACAAGCTGAGCCCAAACAGTCAAGCTACAATGGTTGCACACCAAAACACTTTACAATAAAACTGGTGTCTAGGAGCCATCTTTGTCCTTGTACTTTTGCCACTTTGTCCAAGCATAGCGATGGCATTCCTTCAACGCCTCCACCCAGTCAACTTCCACATCCTTGCGAAATGACTTGGACATGGTCTTCTGGCCACAAGCAACTGCACTGGCCCACTTGCAAGTCCACCGATGGTCATTGCCTCAGCATCAACAAATTTGTGCAAGCTCCAAAAACATCAGTTGAAAAACGTGAAGAATTCTAGTGAGTCTAGCAATGCTCCCTGAGCAACAAACTCAAACAAATACTGAAACACTTTCAGTCAGGCTGCAGTTCAATGAAATTGAGCACCCTGGTGGAGAGATGTCTGACAAGGATCCAGGCGTCTTGTGCACATTGGGCCCCCTCTCACCACGCCTCCTGTCAGAAGCCTCTGATGGAGCTTGGCTGGCAGGCACCACATCTGCAACGCCAGGTTCCAGCTCAGCTGCTGAAGACGGCAAAGGCAAAGAAGGCATCACAACCACTGGAGGTGGCAAACAAGGTTCAACTGAAGGTGCTGCAGATGGCTCTTCAGCAGGCGGCAACGATGGTTCAACAACTGAAGGTGGATCTGCAGACGCTGAAGGCAAAGACGATGCATCAGCAAGTTCAGGTCTGCTGGAAGAAGCTGCAGCAGCTGATGCAGATGGCACTGCTTCAGCAGAAAAGCTAAGCCGTCTTTTCACTTTCTGCTTGACATGCTTCTTGATCAACTTTGCCCTGGCTTTCATCTTGGCTTTTCCTTTAGCTTTGGCTTTGGCTTTGCGCTTGTTCTTTTCCTGGGATTGATTCATCATGTCAATGATTGAAATTGAGCACATGGTGAAACAACAACAAACACTGAAACCAGATGTTGTATAAGTAATGCAAGTTTCATCTTCTGCCTCAGCACGCCAATCCTTCCATTGCTTGATCTTCTGGTTCTTGGCTTTCTGAGTCACCTTTTGCTTCAGCTCTGCAAACTCTTGGAGGTCGTCTTGGTCCATCATCTCAAGCACAGCTTCCGCTAGCTCATCATCTGCATCACATTCATCATCGGGCACCTTCTTTTTTTCCTCAATCCGTCTCTTGATTTCCTCCACAAAGTCATCATCACCCACCTTCGATGCCAAAGCTTGCAGAAGCTGGTCCTTGTTCAGTGAATCAACGTCCACATCAAGCTCAAGCTCACCCAAGATAGCCAACTCCCGGAATGTCAGCCTTTGCCCATGCTCACGGAGTGTGCACTTGATGACCTTCTCCCACCCATGCACTGACAAGACCAGACCAACATCACTTGCCAAAACTGGCATCAAAGACGTGGCAACATAGATTGAATGATCCAAGATGAACTTCCACCTGGGGACATTCCAAAGACCAATGAACATTATATTTTATCTTAGTTCAATCGGTGTATATACAATAAAAACCATTTGCAAATGACCAACAAACTTGGAAAGGACTGCACCCAAGCAAAGCCAGGAATCAGAAGCTGTCCGTTTTTCTTCAAAGACAAAGTGAAATCATCGGACTGGATCAAGGGCCAAACCAGAAGTCCCCACTTCAGGTTGGCCACAACAAGGAAGGCAGGCCCATTGCCATATGAACTTGTGGAAGAAGCCTCTGAACCAATCCGGAAGGCCATGCCAGGCTGGAATGCAACACACCTCTTGGCATCCTTACTTAGATGGTCAGCTTCAGGCTTGGCTTTAATGTAACATACAACAAAAACAGACACATACAGTGACAGGTTCAGAGAACAAAGCAACCAAGGCAAGCAACATTGACTAGAAAAGCATCCTTTCAATCATGGCATGCATCTTTGAGTTTAATGTTCTGTCCATTCATTTTCTCACTCACATAGTGTCTCAACCATGCCCAGCATGCGCTTGAACGTGACAGGCACTCCTCAGACATTGAAGGCCATTTTTGCTACCAAGGATGTCAGCAAACACCTTTGGCAACTTCTCTGAAGCAGCCAGAAACTGTTGCTTGCTATCACTTGGCTTTGTTGATGCCCATCGTGACAGCATTGCTTTCTTGTCCAAAGCAGCTGGGTGCAATATCCCACGACTCTCAAATGTCTGAGAGGTTTCCACAAGGGATTGGATCTGTCTGTGGTTGAGCTTCTCATGTGGTTGAGACTGTGCTTTGCCACGGATTGTCTGATGAATATCTTCAACAAACTTGGTGTCTGGTAGGCGGGTCACAAGGCTTGCCAGAATATCCCGTCCCTTTTCCGTGAGATCAGCTTGGTAGAGTTGATAAACCAACCTCATTGGTTTGGAGACCGTGTATCTCACATCATCCAGGATCTCTGAAGTGCTCTGACTCTTTGAGTGCTCTAGCCTCCGCAAAATATCCCAATCATTTTTCATCAACTGCACGGCAGCAACAGTCCTCACAGGATCATCAAGCACAACAGCTGCAGCATACACCTCCGGTGGAGAGTTGTGCATGCACATAGAAGACGCCCTCTTGTTGAGACAGCCAAGCACATAGAACCACAGGTCATCCAAATAGTTCTGCAACTTGCTTTGCTCCAAATGCCTCAAGGAACATTTATCATATTGAAGCACCGTTTCAAAGTCTCCCCAGTCACTGAACAAGTTGATCAAACCTGTGAATTGGGCATCTGACATCCATTGGCCATCTGCCATTTGCGCCAACCTCTCCAAGCCGTGATGTGGAGTCTTGATCTTTTTCACCGTTTTACTGTACCAAGTCCACAGGACATCATTGGCAAGTTTCATTGCCCGGACAGAGAACCAAGTATTCCAACTGCAGCATTTCAAAGCAAGTTTGAGACCACCAGCCTCCTTGCGGAGCTCTGCAAATGTAGTAGAGGTAGTGCGGGTGTCTGGACACTCATCTGGAAACAATGCTGTGAGGAGCATCCGTGACGCCCAAAACTCACCAAAGTGATCATGGGCCGAATTGCTCCAGCTGAACCACCTTCCAGACTTGACACAGCTGGATTTGTTCCTGAAGGTCTTCAGTTCTGCCAGCAATGACAAGTCCACTGACTCAACACCCATATCTAAAGCTACCAAGTCTGCAAATCTCTCAAGCAGTTCACTATCCTCACCTTCCGAGTTCAAGAACATCTCAAGGAGTTCTGTCTTCTCCTGGAAGAATGCTCCTTGGCGGAATGGTTTGTACGACAATGTCCACAGGTAGGTGGAGCACAAATGGGCCATAGACAAACGAGTCCGCACTGCCTTGGGCGCAACACTGTTTGCAGCCAGTTTCAAATCACGGTTGCACCTGTGAAATGGGTCGAAATAGAACTGAGTCATGGCTTGCTGATGAAGGAACCCACATGCAGCCATGTTGGATGGGCCCTGATCCATACCTGCAATGAGGATATTGTGATTCACTAGGTCCAGCAAGTTCACTGTTGCAGTTGTTCTCTTTGTGACCTTGTCAACAAGAAAAACCATGTGCCCCTTCACAATGTGCAAAACATTGTCCAAATGTCCAAGCGCAGGATTGTCACACAAGAAGCTGCTCATTCCTACAGCCCCATTTGTCACCAGGCTAAGCTGATGGCTTAGACCCTGAAGGAATCGATAGGCTGCCATGCGCTCTTGCTTGCGGGTGGCCAGAAGGCGTTCAACAGTTAAAGAGCATTCAATCTCTCCTGGATGTGCCATTTTTGAACTCTTCAAAACCTGGCTTGTGCAATAGACACCAATATTGTTGTGTCTCGAAAAAATTGCACTCACCAACGTCTCTCTGCAACTGTGGCGGGCAGCATCACTAATCAAGTTGTAATGATTCTCGCCTTGCAGCCCCATGGAAGCTCTCTTGAGATACATGGATTGCAGTTTGGCAAGCCAGTGCCTGCACGCTCCTGAAGTGCATCCTCCGTCTTTTGAGCGCTCTTTGGTTCTCACCAGCTGTGGGAAGCTCACACCAGCAATGTTCACAGAGTCTTGGTACCATTCCCAAACTTGATTTGGGTCTACTCTCACAGACTTGTGCTCTCTTGCCCTGCCAGGGGCTGTGGGTTGCACATCATCATTTGCACCATCCCAAGGCACAATGCTATCAGGCGCCAACTCTGACTCTCTCTCTTTCTCTTCTTGCGACTTGGAATTGACCTGTTTGATATGTCTGGGCCCACAGACTGGATGAGATCTCGAACTGACTTTTGCAAACTTGCAGACAGCAATGAAATGATTGAGTCCCGCAAGTCTTTCCACAGAGTGTGTATCCTTGCCTTCATGACATGCATCTTCCGTTCACGTCTGAATCTCTTCACACATGCCAAAAACAAAGTAAGGTCCAAAAGTGAAGCTGCATCAAAGTCCGAACCAAACATCCCTTCTTCCTGCGCCAAAGAGTGACTTAGCAAAATTACAGGCTGTGAAGCGTGTTGAATCATCATTGACTAACTATCATTATCATTCATTACCATCTATTCTTAGTTTCACACAACAACTGAGTCAACATGTCCTTCATCTTGTCCCACATTTGCTTGAAGGATCCAACAAACGCTTGATGGGCAAAGGTCGACAAAACATGCTGCAAGTTACATGTTCCTGATGCATCAAAGGAGAGTTGCTGTCCATTGCGGAGGTATGAATGCCCACCACCACTAGCATTCAAGATGCCCACAGCCAGAAGAGCCAATTTCTTGAGATATGCCTTGCCAAAGTCCAACCGGGAAACTGAGCGTGCGGTGTCCGTCACTGCAACAAGAAAGTACACAAGCGCTTTCGAAGTGCAAGCTGTAGCATCCAATGCATCTCGCCTGAAGTCACCAGCTGGGCATTGAACTTAAAAAAAAATTCATTTAGGAGGTTCTAGACTAACATTATCATTTTCCTTTGCTGGACTAAGGCAAACTGAGACATCAGTCAAGTCCAACAGGCCTTGTTGCTTGCTGCTCCTGTGGACTGGGCTTGATGTAGATGGCCTGACCCAAAAACTCACGCTCTTCCTGGAGAAGAATTCTGAGCTTAGCCACAAACTTCCCCATTGGCTCTCCCATCTCACCTTCTTGCAGCAACTTGTCATGCAGGTACCCAACGTTCCACCAGAACTCTGAGTCATGCTCATAGCACACAGGTGTTGGCAACCATGGTGATAGCTCCTCCACATAGTACACTGGAGTGTTTGCTGCCAGGTCCACAGGCTGCTCACGCAGGTCATCCATTAGTGCGGGGCAAAATAGTGGTCTTTCACAACACAACACAACACAACTCATGTCATGCTTCAACCTCAATGGGAATCATGTGCTATTGTGGACACGTGTGCTCTTGAATCAATTGACACTCCATGAATCAATGACAAGACAAACCATTAAACCATTGACAATAATTGAACCTGACACAGCATGTACAAACACAATGGCAATGGCAACACCAATTCCAAAGCTCAGTCAAATACATGTATCTCTTTGCAACATGCCACAATAGTCACAGCTCAAGTATTAGTCAAGTATTAGTCCATGCATGCCACTCAAGTCAAGAACAAGGCATGCACATGCGCACATGAAGTCTGGACATGACTCAATGACAAAACAAGCACATGCACAACAAATACACTAATTGCCTAATTGCTGAACATGTCAACCCACAAACTGATGTCACCACAAATAGCACAAGCAACAACAATACTTCAAGTCACAAAAGAGCTCTTTTCATCCACACTTCTCATGGTGTCAACGCAAGACTTTAAGATGCTTGGCACTAGTCCACAAGCCCGTATACACATTCCCAGCCAACATGAGCACCAAGATGAAGATAGTTAGAATCATCGTTTACTTAGCAAGATTGGATTCTGTTTCCAACAGCCACATAGCAAACCAGGGCCAGGCATGTCTCTTGAACACGGCAAAACTTTCACAGGACTACATTCAACAAGCCAGGCAGCCTACGCGCTCAACCACAAGCCCCAGCTCCAAGGAACCACCCCATACTCCAGGTTCTCAAAAGCTGCCTAAAGCTCATAGTTGGAGACGCCAGCTGCATCAAAGAATGTTCCTGCGCCCCAAAGTGTCGCTCATGAGAAGCCTTGAGCATTGGCAGCCACCACCTCAATCTCTCCCTGCTGGATCTCCACTGGTGCTGCCTGCGGTGCTGCTGCCGGAGCTGCATCCGCATTGGGGACACCATTTTGCAAGGGTGGCCTTGGCTGACAAGCTTGACAACTACACACAAACACTTGACAAAGTCTATTTAAGAAAGTAAAATACAGTCAACATCCTGAATCAAATCAACCACTGAGTCACACATAGTCACATCGGAATGGGCATTCCATGTCCGTCTTGTTTGCTTGCACACGCCACTCAAGCAAGCAATAGCTGTGGAATGTGTGTCCACAGAAGATGCTTTGGTTTCTCGAGCGTCTGTTCATGACATCTTGGCATATCACACACACAGGTGCATTGGGATCTTCCTGCTCCTCAGGCTCCAGCACAGGCATCTCCGCAGCGATTGCTGCCACAGCTTCTGCATTCACCACTGGCGAATCAAGCAATGGAGCTGGTGGCACTGATGGCCTTGCAGCTGGCGGTGCCACAGGCCTCACCGGAGCCAAGGGAGCAGGTGTGATGACCACACCATTGGGCCTTGCTGGAGGAGGTGTCTGAAGAGCAGCAGGAACACTGGGAGGAGCAGCCTTTGCAATGTTGTTGAACATGACCTGCAAATTCTGGTTTGGTGGCGATGCTGCAGCTGCCTTCGATCTGCTCTTGGCCATCATCCAGGAGTCTTGCCAGCCATACTCACATGCCACATCCAAGATGATTGAGTCAGTCACCACAAGACCAAATCGCTCAATGACATTTGACTCAAAGCTCTCCGCACCAATGCTTGCCACAATGCGCCTGTGGGCTTGCTTCATCATGTTGTTGAACTCATGGTATGTCACCACCCCTGAGTGATGTTAGCAGCTATTGTTTTGAAACAACAGCAACAAGAAGACACAACAACAACAACAACAACAACAACAACAACAACAAACCTTGTGGAGGTCTGTCCAGGCTACGAAGGTCTGACACACGGACACATGGCTTGATCCGGGTAAAAAGCCAAAGGCATGCCAGCAATCCAGGTCCTGTGGTCTCAGCCAAGTATGCTGCATCAAGCTTCTCGCACAATCCCTGGAGACAATCCGCCAGTCTGTTGCGGGGAAAGCTCTTCACATATGTGCAGGACCTTGATATTGCTGCATCTTGGATCCTCTGATGCACTGGCGGTCCATCCACATCAAGAGTCGCCGGGACTGCTGGAGCCGCCTTTGCTGGTACCACTGCTGAAGCTGGTTCACCACATTCCTCTGCTTCCGAATGCTCCTCCACTTCCGATGGAGCTGCTGCAGCCACCCCCATACCCATCTGAGGCATCATACCCATGTGAGGCATCATGCCCATGGCCATTGGATTCATGCCACCCATGCCTGCCATGCCACCCATGCCGCCCATGCCGCCCATCATCATGGGCATGCCAGGCATGCCACCGCCCATCATTGGCGATGCTGGGCCCTGCACCCTGGCTCTTTTGGCAGGCCTCATGGTCGACAATGCCATCTTGATTGCACCAAAGCTTCAACTGAGCCACCTTGAAAGACAAATTGCTCCATTCAGCACTCATGACCAATGGTTCACAACACATTTGCCAACTAAACCTTGCCTTGCCTTTGAGAGTCTGTGAGCATTTCTGAGACAATGCCTGAGATTTTTTGAGATTTTTTGAGATATTTTGAGATTTTCTGGGATGGGAAAATCAGATGTACAATTACGAAACTAACTCCGATCTAGTCCTCGAGATTTTTGGTGACATTTTGAGATTTTTTGAGATTTCTGGATTGGACAAAAAATAGTACCAATACATGTATCAACTCCGATCTAGACCCAGGTCTAGATCAGCGGGGTTTCTGCGAGACATTTTGAGATTTTTTGAGACATGCCAGACATTTCTAGACAATTCTCTAGCTCATGTCAGGGTGAGTTTTGCATCCATTTCCTTCCTCCAAGTTCCTCCAAGTTTTCTTTCCAGGTATTCTTTAGTCTCCTTAGCTTCCTTTGTTGTGTCTCTTGTCTTGTGTGTCTTGTCTGGCCTTGTTTTGCCTTGTGCTACTAGCGCTAGCTTTAGCCTCACACCTTGTACGTGACACCCTGTAGCCTCCCATTCCCAGTGAGTTCCACTCCCCCCAATTCATGTTCCATGAGTCCACATGCACAATGCACATGCCTGCAACCACAAATCACAAGCACAGCTCACAAACTGCATTACACGGTTCATGTCCCTGTGTGTCTTGACACTCCTGATTCCTGACATACAGTCTCGCATCTCTCTCTCTCTCTCACTCTCACTTGCCATCCTTGGGTGCACTGCTGTGGCTTTGAGGGCACATGTGGTGACCTGGGACATGTGGACATGACTGACATGTAGGGGTGACACAGCTTTTGACATGCGCTTGATTCCTTCAGTGCTTGGACATGTCGACATGACTGCCATTACATCTTACTACTACACTTGAAGGATTCAGCACATGAGTGTCATGTTACAGACTTGTGATTGATTCCACACTTTCACTTGGCACTCAGGAGCTTGGGCACCACACAACTTGGACTCGCAGGTAGACCAACCCTTGGCACATCCACTCATCCAATGAATGATTGACTGGGTTTGACATGAAGATATTTTCATTAAGCAAAAATTATGTCACACTGTCATGGCACATGGCAGGTTAGACCCAGTGTGGCAAGAGCTTGCTTCATTGATTCATGGTTCACAAGTCATTCCCCCGACTCAGTTGAGTTGAACATGGCATAAGTGAGTTAGTAGTCTACAGTACACTTCGAACTGCCTCATTGACTCCTCCGACTCAGCCCCCAACTTGGAAAGAGCATTAGTATTTGCACCTCAGCAAGACCCATGTCACAAGTCACAGACAAGTCACAAGTACTCAGTACAAGCAGAGCAGTACCAATCACAAGACAAGTACAAGACAAGTGCCAATCACAAGTAGTACACACATGTCACATCACATGCCACAAGTCACAAGTCACTGCACAAGTACCATCACGTCTCAAGTTCAAATCACAACACCATGCCAACAATCAAGTAAACTATGCTTTTCATTGTTTTTTCTTCATCTCCGCTGGATGGCTGTCATCAGCACATTACATGAGTGAAGTGCAAAACCTCTGATATCGCACTCTTTCCATCATTGAGACTGTTGTGAACCTTATCCACCTTTCACTCTACTTACTTAGTCTTCACTGCAGTGATGCTGCCTTCATCAGAGGTTTTGGCAGTTGCTCACATGGTCAGCGCATTGGCTTCCCCCCAGCTGATGTTCCGCCCTGGAGGTGGTGGATCATGGTGCCTCACCTCACCATCCTCACTGCCCACATAGCGGAGGAACAGGCCCTTGGAGTTGAACCTGGGCACCAGCAAACAAATAATGCATCAGCCAAGTGAAGGCAAAGTGGAACACGTCCACAACATGCATGACTCACTACTTCCCTCACATGTCAGCAAAACAACACACTGAGACCATAGCACAGGCTGTCCATCGCGCATGCCTTCACAACACCAAGACAAACCACTTGATTCTGAACTGTGGAAACCTTCAAGACTATGACAGCAGTAGGTTCACTGTGTGTCAGCAGCTTGATGAATTCCAAGGTTCCCACTGAAGATCTCTTGCTCAGCACCATGTGTCGTCTGGGCAATGTAGAAGTGCCCACCAATCTCCACCACATGTGAGGTCATCTGGCAGCAGGACACCCCAGCATTGCATTCATTGACTGACGCCTACACCTTGTTGCTTTGCTTACCTTCATTGTACTGACTTGTTTCAATCAAGTATTCAGCACAAAGCCACCCCTCAAGCCTCCATCGATCCGTTCTGGCAGAGGCTGTTGCACAAGCGGCACGCTTGTGGATCCGTCATCTGGTTGCTGGCCTTGACCTCCGCATACTTCTCCATCATTCCACCATGAAGATCAGCCAGTACATTCCTAAATGTTGTTGCAGTTGCACAGGACTTGGAATGGTACACCAAAAGAATACTGTGTCAAGACATAATAGTGAGTATTTCATCATGCAATGCAATGCCTGTCAATTTCAGTGCAAGCTTACTTAGTAAGGGCAAGGGGCGTGGCGTCAACATTCTGTGCCACAATGATGCTGTTCATGACCC